AGAAAACAAATTAAAGATATCAACTCCCACTGAGTGGTCAACCAGTAGCCATCACAACTATATTAAATATTTTGTCAGGTAACTTCTACAGGTTACCTACCAACCTGAAGACTTTGTTATTACTTTGTTTTAGACAGTCTTTCATCAAATATAGAAGTGACACACACTATGTATGATATAGAAACTACCATAAAAAACATTGTCACAAATTATCGTTTATCAAAAATAAGCAATATGTATACATAACTCTTGTATCTCAGTAAGGACATACATTTATCAAAATGAATCTAACCATATACTAGCATTTGTATATTCCAGTATATGTACAATATACCCAAGATCAGTTCACTATAACACTGGTCACGTAAACTATTATTAGGCATCACTGAGGTTGCACTGTAAACAAAAACAGTAACCAGAGCACATCATTAAGCACACATCCATTCACTGGAAGAATGAAAAAGATACTCATATAACCTGCTTAATAACCCATTTTACAGATTCAATGAATAGGAAGTGGCACTTAGGAGGCAGAAAAACCTGAGTTCAAGACCAGTCTAGTCTATAAAGTGACTTCCGATTTAGACTTAAGGCCATATCTCAAAAAGATTCAATTCATTATTTGCAACAAATTCTAGATTTCTACTTATATATATTTTTCTTTTCAGACAGGTCTCGATGTTACCTGGGCTGGCCTCAGATAATGTTGCCTCATGTTCAGATTACTGATAATGAGCTACCAAGCCTAGTTATACTGTTCTTTGGAATACCTGTACTGAAATTTAGTCTCCCATATGTTAGGCATGTGTTTCATCACAGACCTACAACTCCAAGCCAGTTTTTGTTTTTTGCTAAATTAATGTGTGTGGGTGGAGACAGTAGAATTGTGGATAGTGAATGACGCTATGTATGGCTTTCTCAGGATCAAGTAGAAAGGTGTGGCATGTATGAGCAGGCATGATATGACCTCGACATCAACATGATAATGGCTCTCAGGAGAACTAGGTGCCAGATGACTGGTAACTACCTATTCTGGGGACTTATATGAGTAATATTCTTTATTCACTTCTCAGATTTTGTTTAGCTCAAAAACATCATCTATTTATTATCCCATAAGTTAACAATACAAAGCATTTCTAATACATTGTGAATTTAGTTACACTTTGAAAGAAGCCATTTCAACACTTCAACCTTATTCACAAGATACATACTTAACAGCAAAAGCCTAAAACTAAAATTGTTTATAAACTGTCATTAGTAGTGAAAAGCATTAACTTTGTAAATAATTTCTCCACCCCCGGGTGTCCTCAATGGTAGAGAGCATGCTTGAGGCCCTAGGTTCAATCCACAGTAGGCACAGAAAATAATTTCTGACATCTAAATACCTGACATCTAAATGCAGAGGGCAGGAAGGTGTGGTTAAAACAGGTAAGAACTATTTCCCCAAGCCCCCAACTACCTTCTTACACACAACTTTGCTATAAAAGTATATTCTACCATTATAAAATAACATTTAAAGATAAGACTCAGACATAAGTTCCAAACTGTGGGGGAATGCTTGCTTTGTTAACTATCATCAGGTTTTATAATTCCACAACTGAAGTCCGGTGACGGTGGTCTCTAATCCCAGCACTAGGGAGGCAGAGGCAGGTGGATCTGTGAGTTCGAGACCAGCATGGTGTACAAGAGCTAGTTCCAGGACAGACTTCAAAGTCACAGAGAAACCCTGCCTCGAAAAACAAAACAGAACAAAACAAACAAACAAAAATAATAATAAAATTCTAGAACTGAAAGATCTGAGATTAACTAAGCAAAAGACTTTAAATAGGAAATCCTGGTTCGCACCAAAAGTTCTTCACATAAAAAGCAGGTGGGAATGAGTTCTTTTCCCAAGAGAATAAATTTCCCCAACATTTCTTCTTGGAGGAAAAAAAGTGTATGTCTACGCAAATGTGTGCCCTGTATGAGTACAAATGCCAGGACATAGTGGAGTTAGAGCCTTTATAAAAACAAAATAAAAACACACCCTGGTGGGTGCTGGAAACTGAACTCAGATCCATCTCTTTAGCCCTCTCCCCAACATTTCTATTCAATACTCTCCCACCCTCTACAAAACTAAAATAACATTAAAAAAAAAAAAAAAGGGAAGTTGATGAGCCTCAAAGAGTTAAAAAACTGATCTAGATCACCCTAGGTTCAAGTGCCCAAACACTCAATTTTTTTTTTTTTTTTTTTTTTTTTTTGCTTAAGAGCTCCTCCTGTTTATCAAGTGTCTTTTTCTTTTACAGAGTTAATTCAATTCAGAGCTGCACACAGGAAAGGAATATAAAGAGACTAATTCTAGGTGAACTTCCAGATGTCTTGTAAGCCAAAAGGATTTAGTTTCATATACCATACAACTGGACATCATACTTCACTCTTGAGGCTAGAGTTCTTTCTAAATAGCTACTGTAAATCCCTCAAAGTACACAGGAAAAGGGAAGCCGCCCACTTATGTAGGCCAGGTATAATTGAGTCTTTCTTTTAGGATATACCAGCATATCTTAAAGCCAATTTTATATGTAAGTATGAAAGGGGGATGTATGTGTATGATAGGTAAAAATTCAAAATCTTAAATTAATATCAACTAATGGATAAAACATTGTTCCATTACCTAAAACTAGCCAGCCAACTTGATGAATATTTTCCAAGTAAATATTTACTAGATATATACTACATATAAATGACATAAAAACACAGAAGTACTGAGGAATATACAGGGAAAAGGATGGGAAAACAGAGTATTCTTGTAAATCTTTATCTTTTGGTGCAAAAAACTGTCCTTTCATACTTTCCTTTAAAACCAACACACTGGCCACTGGCCAGTACTAGAGGGAAAGCCAGAAGAATCTTGGGTTTGAAGCCAGTCAGAACTATACAGTGAGACCGGCCTCAAAAAGAGGAGAAACAGAATAAAAAACCAACACACCACATTTGTTTCTATGTACCTGTTTCTACCATTGCTAAACAAGCATACACTTTCCCCACCCCTCCCTAATTACCATACTCAGCCTTAGGAACCACTCCCAGAAGCCACTCTATTCTTGGATGCCCTCCCCAACCAGTCCACCAAGCTTGCTTCCTGAAATCTCATCTCCTTTCCCAGGAAGCCTTAATTTAAAAGCCAGGTTAATCTATTTAGCCCCACCCGAAGAAAGCTTACAAAGGCCATAACTCTCTCTGCATTCACCATTCTATAATAGGCACCTACTAGTCTGCTCACATGTTAATTTATTCATCTGCTTATTTAGTATACTACTCATTGCCCTTAATGATCTGTGTCTGCAGGGTCCTTAAGCTACCAGACTAAAGAATACATTAGCATTGGTTTGGCTTTTAAATGCAAAGATTAATGTTTTTTGAAACATAAATCTCCCAACACAGGGCAATCTTAAAAGCATGACAGTGTGAAATGAGTAAAACACAAAAGGATCCAATACTGGCTGATTTTACTTGTAAGAGACCAGGAAAAACAATTTTAATGGGAACAGATCACTAGAGGCCAAGGACCTTATTTCCTCCCATGATAGTGTATTTTAGGGACAGAATTCATTCAGAAACTCAAACCTCTTCCAATTTCACTTTGCCATATAAACCTAGAATTTTTTTTGAAAGGGCCCATTTATAAATGACCAGTGGAGCATTTATCACCCAGCATCTATATTAAATGTGTTTTATCATTTTTAAAAAAATGTAGTAGTTATTTAGGTTGAAGATAATTCATTATTCAATTCAGGACTTAGGAAAAAGAAGCTGGGTGTGGTGGTGTACTCCTTTATTCCCATCCCAGCATTTGGGAAGAGGCAGGCCCATCTCTATGAGTTTAAGGCCCAGGCCTACATAAACCATTCTAGGCAGGGTCAGGGACCAGCAAGTTAGGAACTGAAAAGGAGAGAACACATTATGTATGTAGCAGTCCATTTAATTCTTAACTGTGGTTATTTTTGCAAATGTTATCTGAGTACTGCTGGGTAACAGTGAGGTTTTTATCTTAGTTTTTCAAAAGGTTAATTTCAAAATTACTTTTCCTTTCAATAAAAAAAAAAAAAAAAAACAATTTCTCTTAAATGTTACCGACAAAATAACTCAACAGGTTGGAGACTTATCAAGCAAACTGCTAAGTGACGCTTTCTTTTACAAAGCTGACCAGCAGATCTCAACAGTTGGTGCTGCTCTAAATTGCCTTTGCCATTACCCATAAAGTTTGTAGGAACTGAAACACATCAAACATTACCACCCACAAAGCAAAAAGCAGTGAACACACTGGGCAGGGATATTAAGAATTTTAGATCAGTAAAATTTAACAAGTTATGTATGTCGCATCTGCTACAGAGACCACACACTGTCATGCCATCCCCTTTCCAGAATCTTATGGCCTCGTGGAACTCAATTCTTGGCTTTTCAGGGGTTAATCCATTTAAGGCTGCTAAAGGGAAATCAAGGAAACTTAGTATGTGAATCCAAGCGGTGAAAAAGGCAGGGATATGGGGCTTGAGTCACGTCGTTCCGCCATTTTCTAAGCGGAGGAGGAAGACATGTTGGAACAAAAACACAACAAAAGAGCAGCCATTTCCCAAACCAGCTCCGTCAGCAACCCTAACAGACTAAACTCGGTCACATCCGCACCTTCAAAACTACTTAAGCAGACAACCGTACTAAGGTCAAAAGTGTCGCCTTTACAATAGCAAGATCCCTTCCGCGTAGGGATCAAAGATGACCTGCACAGTTAACTACCAATGAAAGCCCCGGGAAGCGGAAAAATGACAGAAACTAAATGCAGCAGTACAACAAACACAATTTCAACTAAGTTGGAGAACTATAATTTATCCAATGGTTACAGTTAACTGTGGAACCTGGGGGAATCAGTACCAAGACCGATTCAGCGGATCCCATTACCAGCCTCAACCCCTTTCACCATTTCGCCAACTCCCTGTGTGATGACTGTGCTCAAAGGTTCTTACCGTATGTGAGGGATGCCAACCCCACCTTGAAGAATCTTATACAGTTTGCTCTCGTACAGCAACTGGGGATGCCTGGCCTTCTGGGATTCTAGCTTCACTGCCACTTCCTGCAGAGGAAAGGGGACGATGGCATCAACATCCCTACGGATTCAAACTCACTTAGGAAACGGAAAGAGACATTAGCAACGCTTGCTTCTTTCTACTCTCCACTGCAAGGACGTGAAACGATGGTTAAGCTACCCCTGTAGTTACAAAACAAGCCAACCAGCCTCAAAGGCTTTTTCGGGAGGCAATGGCAAACCTCTAATCCTAAAGTGCTACAGTGAATGAAAAGAATTAATCCAGAAAACAGGCAACCTTGGAATGTAAGACGAGATTTTTTTTTTTTAAAGGAAACTGTTCTAACTGGAACAAGAACCCCAAACTACACTGAAGAAATACAAAGAACACCATGGCGATCAATCGACTTCGCCCTTCTCATCTTAATTAAGGGTTAAAAAGAGACATTTTGAATAAGCTGGGAAACCTCAGAGTTTTATCCAGCCTTTCTATCGGGTATTTCCTTTTTAGGGAAATAGTGGGGGAGGTTGCTAAGCCAGGAAAGCTGGCTCTCTCTAGACTCCCCAGTGCGTGCGTGCGTGCGTGCAGTGGGAAGAGGCTGGGAGTACTTGCGGGGGGGGGGTGTTGGGGTGAAAAAAAAGCCCAGCGTTAACGTCCCCCCGCCCCTCAAACCGGGTGATTACCTCGCCATTGGTGATGTTGATCGCCAGATAAATGTCCCCGAAGGAGCCAGACCCGATCTTCCGCACCAGTTTGTATTTCCCCCCGACGATAAATTCGGCCTTGGAGCCGCTGCTGCTCGCCATCCTGAGACGCGAAGATGGAGGCGGGGGCCAAGCCCCGACACCTCTTGGGCAGAGGATTGAGGCCTCCGAGGCTGTTCCACCCGGCAGAAGCGAGGAGCGCGGCAGGCAACCGGGACGCGAGGCTTTGTTGGCGTTACAGGGCGCAGAGTCGGCTGCGAGAAACCGGCTGGCCGCGGCTCGCCGAGGGCCAGGCCTCAGTTAGGGAAGGGTGGTCGCGGCCGCTGGAGCTCGGCCAGTTGCTTTGGGGCGGCCGCCGCCGTCTCGCGCTCGCGGCGACGTTGCGGGCTGGGAAAGGGGCGCGGGGAGTTAGGGCGGCGGTACCGCTGCCACCAATGCCGCCGGCTCCGGCCCGGAGGGACCCGTCACTCCGCCGATGCCGCCATCTTGTTACTCCAGCTCCAGCCAACACAAAATGCCCCCAGTCCCTGGGAGCCGCTTCTTCACGGCGCAGAGCACTCTGGGAAAGGGATCTCGGGCGCTCTTTCGGTAGGGTGGGCTGCGAGACGGAGGGCGGAACCGGATCCGCCAGAGTCGCAGCCCACGCTCCGAGCGTCACCCAGTCGCCGCCCAGCTGCGCCTGCGCACTGCGACGCCTGCTGACCGCGCAGGCCTGGTGCGGCCTGGGTCTTCCCCGCCCTCCCCGCTGGGGCTCACTTCCACTTCCGGCCGTCTGCGGGTCAGCGCTTGCTCCTTGTTAGTCACTTCGGACCCCGAGGCCTGGGTTGGTGTGAGCGTCGGGAGAGCGCGTTAGGGAGTCGCCTTTTTTTTTTTTTTTTTTTTTTTTTTTTTTTCTTTCCCAAATGTGGCCAATGGAAGCCTCTGGTCTCCTTGGGAGTTGAGTGTTGACCTTTATTCCGCGTTTGAGGCGGTTTAGAACCTTTGATCCTTCTTCAGGTCCCTCTCTGGGGCCGCCCTTTTCCAGTTTCTGCTTGGAAAGAGAAAAGCTGCGCTGGGCGAGCTGAGTGCAGGAAGTGGCTCAGGTTTTAGTAGGGCCTGGTTGATGACTAGTAATTAAAAGTTCGGGCTCCGTGGAATGTGGAGAGCTCCCCCACCCCATCATCTTTTAAGGGCTCAGAAGGAACCTGGAATCGATCTCACCCCATGTCTGTGGCCCTATGAATACTCTTGATCTGAAAGAAAAAATTCTAATAGGTGCTTCATATTATTGCTGACATAATGAACAGAAAACTTAACAAGCTGGGCGGTGGTCTTTGATTAATTCCAGCACTAGAAATGGAGAGGCAGGTGAATCTTGAGTTCGAGGCTAGTCTGATCTACAGAGCTACTTCCAGGACAGCCAGGGCTACACAGAGAAACCCTGTCTCGAAAAACCAAAAAGAGAAAAACAAAAAACCAACTTGACAACATAAGGTAATTGCACATAGTAAAAGCTGTTATACCCATTCCCCAAAAGGAAGTCACGTTTTCATGTTGGAAAGTACAGTATTGATGTAAACAGTTCAAATAACTATTACAAAATAAAATTGACACTGTATAAGACTTAAAGTAATTTTTAAGTAAAAGCCGATAAAACAATCAGGACTTGATCTTCTCAGTTACAGAATTTGACTGAAAATTGAATGTGAAATTGAGGCTTACAAAAAGCACCATTGGTGCAGCGAAACATGAATACAGCCCTAGGTTGTGAAAAATTTAAGTCGACCCTAAAATGAACTCATCAAAATGGAAAAAACAAGGATGTATTTTCTATTTTCTGTATCTGCGTGTGCCTGCTTTTGTTTCTGTGCATGGACGGCAGAGAGAACTGGATTGCCTGAACTGGAGAGGCATGTGCTTGAAAGCCACCGACATTCTTGACAAAAACTGGTCTCCGGATCCTCTGCAAAAGTAGTAAATGCTCTATGTCACTGAGCCATCACTGCTAGACCAAGAGGAAAAAAAAAAAAAGAAAAAGTTGTAAATGCTCAGTTGGTGTGGTAGGGAAAGCATAGAATGGCAAGCTTATAACTGAAGTTCATATGTGCCCAAATATAATTGCTGGCACCAGATGAATTCACAAAGATTATTTTGGACATGATGAAAAAAATTTTAGACCCTGGGGAAATTTACAGATCAAGTTTGATAATTACTGTGTTTTAAATACAATTTATAGAATATCATTTGTGCCCTCTTATGATGAGCTAGCTGGCTTGCCAAAGGTCACACAGATCCTAGTAACAAAGACAGGACTAGAACCCCAACTTAACCAAAAGAAAGAGAACTTTTGGGAAGGGTAGAACACAAATTTGGACGCTCATGTTCTAGTAATTAAATCTGTATTTATTGGCAAGTCTAGATTAAGTAGCTACCACTTTTTAAAGCCAGTGTTACTCAAGAAAAGTTCCCTAGTAATTGAAGTGTTTTGGGTAAAATAAGAACAACCACAAGAAGTTCAGGTGCAGTCAACAAGCACAAAGAGCTTGTCCAGCTCTAGGATGGTAAACCTACAAATCGGTAGAAAAAATGCAATACCTTTAGAATGCATCAAGTAGTATCCCAGGTGTTGACTCTTAAACACCCCTGAGAGTGGTCAATATCAGATGCAAGAGTCAATGGAGTATTAAAAACATGAGGAAAACAGATGTGCTTTTGGGTTAGTCACAGTCCATTCTGCCTGTTTCCCAGTATTTGACACTGACAGCCATTCCATATTTCTTTTCTCAGTTCCTGTTCTTCACATAGGGTTTTGTTAAAGAGGATTGCTATGAGATAGTGTCTTCTATACATGACAGGAAGTTACATTCCCCCAAATCTTACAATATGGTCACTCACACAAGAGCAGCTCAATAACAGCACCAGTTAACACGCAACACAGATGTGGGAAATCTCAAGTCCTCGCTCTAAATGAAGGCGATTAATAGCTACTAAGAGAGTGAGCATCAGTCTTCTCTGAGGTCAAGCTACCTGATAGGTTATCCAATCTCAAGTGGTGGTCAACCCTAAACACATAAACATACGAGTAACACTAAATAAGCTCAGCAGGTTGTGTGTGTAAAATATAGCCACATGTACATAAATATGAAGAAGAAATAAAGTTGCTGGAGGAGGAGAAGGGTAGAAATGATGCAAACACACACTCAAAACTACACTATTTCAGTACAGTTCTGTAGTACGTGAGGTCCTTATCTCCTAGTGGGCTGCAAGCTTGGCAAGAACTCTGGAAAGTGCTTCTCACCTATATCCGCTGGGCAAATGATGTATATCCATGACTCCTCTACTTACCTGTTAGCCCCTATAGCTAATATAAAACTCACACTTGCATGTTTTTAAAGATTGTTTAGAATTTCAAGTATACATGTGGGTTCCACATGTTTAATTTTACTTCTTAAAATTAACAAAATGGTCCACAGTTCTATCTTGAGACCTGTTTTTATTTTTTTCTCTCCTTGTGATTTGTTGTATGATAAGGTCTCATATAACAGGCTTCTGCTTCTAATGTCTATGGAAGTATGTATGGTATTAATGGAACATGGAACCAATCCTAATTGAATATTCTGTTGTTTTTCTAGTGTACACAAACAATGCTATAATGAATATTACTGTAGCTAAATATTTGTTACCACACAATGTTAATTGGTGAGAATATATTTCTAGAAATACTAAAATACTAAAAACCCTTGGCAAGATAATCAAACAGGTTCAGCAAAACTGATTCAGTATTGATACAATCTGAAGTGATTCAGTTCACTCAAGGGCTTCTCACTTAAATTTATAGTTACATACTTAAATTCAAATCTTTTCATTTTATCTCCAAAAGAGGATGTTCAGTCTTCTTTTCTGACTAACATATTGATACAAACCTAATGAACTTTTAATTCTGTGATTTCTGTTCCTTCACCTGGGTTACAGCATGCAAGTGAAAATGTCCCCCTTTACACAAATGACAGGGCTAAGAAGGCATTTGCTGCCCATTTGAGGAGCAACTGAGTTCACAGCGATTTTGATTCAAGTGAACAGGACAGGGAAATGAGTTTGCTGGGAAGGAATGGAAATTAAAGTTCAGGGATGGTGCTTGCTTTTAATCCCAGCACTCTGGAGGCAGAAGCAGGTGGATCCCTGTGAGTTTGAGGCCAACCTATCCTACAGAGTAAATTCCAGGACAGGAAAGGCTACACAGAGAAATCCGGTCCCAAAACCAGATGTATAGCACCCACATCAGATAACTCACAGCTGCTTGTAACTATCTCCAGCTGCAGGGGATCTGATATCATCTTCTGGTCCCCTCAAGTACCTGCACAAGTATAACACATACAGAAAGACAAACACATATACAGAGAAATTTAAAAATAATATTTCAAGTGAAAAAAAAAACCAAACAAACCTTACAGATTTGTTTTGGGTGAGAAAAGAAAAACCATATAATCCATTTGTTGTGTATCTCGCTCGTAGGTTAAATATAAGGAAATATGTTTGACCTAAGAAGTCTTCATGAGCAAGGTCCTGGATTCAATGGCCAGAATGACAAAAACAGAAACAAAGGCCAGAAGGAAGACTAAATTTAAGCTGTGGCTTTGCCTAACCTTATGTATTTTCCTAATTGTTCCTGCTGTAATCTCAGAAAAGAGAATTCGTATTTTTAAAATATTGTTATTCACAGGATGTACTGATTATCATATAGAAGAGAATGGCATGCACCTTTCCTCTTGCAGTCTCTGTTATTACTGCCTTTTCATTGCGTTCACTCATTCTCTCCTTCTACTGTGTGCGTTCTGGGGATTGAACTCCGGTAGTCAGGCTTGACATCAAGTGCCTTTGCCTACTCAGTTACCTCTCTGTCCCCTCCAACAGCTTCTTAAAGTTGAAGTAAAACAGAATTCAGGTGGCTAGATCCTCATCCATGATTTTCAGCCATAAGCTGTCAGAAAACCCTGTCCTCTGACAGGAACTACAGCAGAAAGCAGGAAGTCGAAGGGATGGGGAGGTATGCTCCCTTCCAGGATATTAAAGACTGCAATTATAACTTAGTTTTCCCTGGAGGTAGGAGAGGGTTAAACAACCTCTAAAAGTCAACTTTTTTCCTAAAAATATTGTTTAATATAGAGGGAAAGGAAAAAAATGACTTATACTGCTCAACACAATAAAGTAACGAAACTCAGCAATGAAGACCCAGCCAAGCCTCTCCCTTCCTTCTCAGGGTTATTCTAAAACAATGCTGGAGGTTTTGACTTGTTTGTCTGAAGTGAATGTTCCGAAAAATAATACACAAAAGCTGGAAATAAATGCTGACAACAAGAAAGTAAGCATCAGGCTGGAGAGATGGCTCAGTGGTTAAAAGCACCGACTGCTTTTCCAGAGGATCTGGGTTCAATTACCAGCACCCACGTGTCAGCTCACAACTGACTGTAAATCCAGTCCCAGGGGATCCGACGCCCATGGAAAAATATCAATGCATATACAATGAAAATAAATTTTTAAAAAGAAGGTGA